ACCGCAGTTGGAGTACTGCGTGCAGTTTTGGGCGCTGCACTTCAAGAGGGATGTGGATAACCTGGAGAGGGTCCAGAGAAGGGCCACTCGTATGGTTAAGGGCTTGCAGGCCAAGCCCTATGTGGAGAGACTGGGGCACCTGGACCTCTTCAGCCTCCGCAAGAGAAGGTTGAGACGCGACCTTGTGGCTGCCTCTAAGTTCATCACGGGGGCACAGAAGGGAATTGGTGAGGTTTTATTCACCAAGGCGCCCCTGGGGGTTACAAGAAATAATGGCCACAAGCTAGCAGAGAGCAGATTTAGATTGGACATTAGGAAGAACTTCTTCACAGTTAGTGGCCAAGGTCTGGAATGGGCTCCCAAGGGAGGTGGTGCTCCCCCCTACCCTGGGGGTCTTCAAGAGGAGGTTAGATAGGCATCTAGCTGGGGTCATCTGGACCCAGCACTCCTTCCTGCCTATGCAGGGGGTCAGACTCGATGATCTATTGAGGTCCCTTCCAGCTGTATTGAAGCAGGGTCTTGCACAGAGAGGTGCTCACCATGCCTTGAGGTTAGTGGAAATTGGGATAGAAAGCATCTTCCATGGCTTCCCTGCCCAGGCTGTGATGTCGTGGTGGAGCTATGTCATGCCATGACATTGTCAGGCAAAAAAGTTCCTAGTGTAATAAGTGATGTAATTGTTGATGATGCAAGCAACACTTTACACCTGGGAAGTGAGTCTCTGCTAAGAGATTCTTAGCATAGACAAGGAATCAGGAGCAAAGCGAATATAGCTCAGGAAAAAAATCCTAACAAAGAATCATAGGACAGTGGAACAAGCTGTCCAGGGAAGCTGTGACCTCTCCTTCATTGGAGGTTTTCAAGAAGAGGCTAGATCAGTGATTCTCAACTAGGGTGTTGCAGCACCCTGGAGTGCCGTGAGGTTCTTTTAAGGGTGCTTTTGGGATGCCACGCAATATTAGAACTGTTAGGTGTGCAAACACCTACATATGGCTTATAAGATAAACCTAAGAGACTTCAAAAAGGAATCCATAATGTCAAAACTGTTTGGACCTGCTGTGGCCTTTTTGAGTGCTTGGCAACAGAAAAATTGTTGTATTATTTTTCTGTAGTCAAAATGTGTAAAAACTCAAATATGACATTTTCTGAGTGGGGCCTCAGGTCTAACAAGGTTGAGAACCACTGGGCTGGATAGAGATCCATCTAGGATGGTTTATCCTGTATCTGTGCAGGGTGCTGGACCCCATGAGCCTTAAGGACCCTTCCACCGCTGTGTTTTCACTGGGTCCCCAAGGAGCAGCTGAGCTGGAGTGCCTGTGGGCGTGTTTGTCAGGTTCTGAAACATTTGAGTGACTTCTGGTGCTGATATGAAACTGTTCATTCACTCCCTTTCTATAAACAAGCTGCTTCTGTCTGCATACACATCTCTAAGTACAGAAGGTGGGACAAATGCAGACCAAGTGCCGTCGGGTGCAACATCAGGTGGACCTGTTCACCTCTTTGTGCAGTTTTCACAGGCATAACTGGCCTCATTTGCCCTGGCCTGTAAGGGAGGGGAATGAGGTCCTGGCTGTTTGTGTGCAGGTATATCAACAAACTTTATACGTGGATTTTCTCCTGA